TGTCCCTGGGATGCCCCCATTCTCACATGTACAGAGCAGGAAGCATGCTCTGGAATTTCACAGCACTGCTGTAGCTGTCTGTGCCCAGCCCTGATCTGGATGCTAACATTTCTGCAGGTAATGAGTACAGTCACCAGGATCCCAGCAGGCTTTTTATCTCCTTCTCCAAACACATCTAAATTCCCATGTAATTATGAAGCCATCATGCTAATTACAGCTGTGGGAAAAGGTTGCCCCTGTCTGCCAACAGTTCCTCTGTGTTGCTGAGGCACAGGTCAGGCCTGGGAAGAATTAATTTCACTGTATTTAGTCATGTTAGCAGTTCTGGGCTATGTTATTGCAACAGCACAGGCATCCCCTGGTCACTCATTGTACTGGTGTGTCACACCTGGGCTTGGGGCCTCAGGGCTCAGTGGGGCTGAGTGATAAGGCCAGTGATAAGTGGTAAATCTGTGATGTGGGGAGCAGGCTCAGCACAGGGATTACAGTTTGGAGGGAAGGAAAGGATACTTAAACCAAATGAAAATGGATGAAGGTCTTCTGTGGTTTGGGATATCTTATTAATATTTAGAAATAGAGCTCCTAGCTCTAAAAGTTACAGAACAATGCTGTGTATCAAGTAATTTTGCTGCAGGCTTATCTTTGCTCTAAGTGGAACAGAAGACAATGACTGTGACTGCATTGTGCCTTTTTATTTTTAAATAAAAATAGTTAGGCCACCAATGACTTTGCTATAAGCAACATATACCTTCTTATTAATAATTTTTTAAAAAAGTTTCGTCCATAAAGGTAGAATTTTTAAGGAGTTATAACAAGGTCAGAGAGATCTTCCAGCTGATAGTGTGATGTTTGCATGGTACCTGCAGAAGTGTGTTGCTGTTCTAGAATTGATGGAGACCTTTTCCCCTTACTTACCCCTTCCCTGGGCTGCTGCCAGAGCTCTTGCCAGGGCTGGGGTCAGCAGGAGGCCAGCTGTGGGTGAATGGAGGGAGATGAGTCAGGAGGTGTTCAGGCTTTGCTCTGCCTCTCTGCTGGGCTGTGTCTAAAAAGCACCAAGCCTCAAAGGAATGAATTTGTTGTAGATTTGCAGACTTGGCTGAACTTCTTTAATTGTCCAGAAAGCTGCTGGAAGCTTATTCTGCATCCTGCAGGGCAGACACAGCCTTGTCTTTGGTGTGAAGAGGTCCCATGTAATGATGCCTGCTGCTACTGAAGCCTGGCAGCCCAGTGGATGGTTCTGGAAAGCTGGTAGGGAAGCTGTGTGTGTATCTGTGTGTACAGTGCCACACATGTGCTCCTGTCTTCTGTGCCTTCTTCCCTTCCCTGATGTGTCCCCCTGCCAAGTGCCTCAGGAGGAAATGCTGCCAGGTGAGTCTGTGTGTGAAAATGCAGAAAAGCCTCTGACCTCCTCACCCTGCCAGAGACCCTCCCAAGGGACCCACATTGTCTCTTTCTGTCTGGTGCTGTTAAGAGAGAGATCTCAAGTATGTAAATTCACAGCAAAAAATCATCTTTGTCCCACTTGATAAGCTGATTAAAACTCCTACACTGAAATGCAAAGAAAAAAGAGGTGTTAATGAATAGAGCTAATTAAAATTTGGTTGAAGCTAATTAAAATCTAAATCTGGTAACACTGTGGAAAAAGCACAACTTTCTGTTCTAGGTTCTGCCTCATTTCAAGGCAGATGATTCTCATGAAGTGACTAAAATTGTCCAAAGTTGTCATTGTTCCACATGTTATCAGACATGCAGCATTTGTATATCCAGCCAGCATGAATCTCCCCAACCTGGAAAAAGTTTAAAATAATAAAAAAACCTCTTGATGTTAAGGGATTTTTGTCTTTGACTGTAAAATCATCCCAGTATATGCTCACACCATGGGCAGCAAGTAGGTTTTCTAAAACACAAAGATGAGAATCAAGCATAGTTACATGGTTTCCAGGAGGAAACACCAAAGTCCTTTTGATCTGTGGCACCAATTATGCTGCAAGACAACTTTCTAAAATTTTCAGCAATAAAAACCAGTTAATTGTATTACAAATGGCAAAGACTATAAAACATCAATTCACAGTCCAGATCCTTCTTTCCTTAGAAACTTCAAAGAATACAAATTATTTTAAGAAAAGGAGAACTGACTTTTGAAGGTAACCTTTTCTTGCCCACATCCCTCAGAACTTTCTCTCACAAATTCTTTAAATACTTAGCACAGTCAATTAAAATTATTATTATAACAATTTATTATGGTTCAGCAGCAAAACACAAGTGGGCATTTGACCAAGTGGGACTGTAATGGCATGAAATGTGCCATTATGCTTGGAAGAAACAAGTGACAATTTGCAAATATGTCTGTTTGATATTGCTAAAATAGCAGGTTAACCCTTTGAGGTTTTGAATGGATTTGGTTGGAAGCACTCGGGAAGGGAGCAAGGAGATTACCAACACTGACCTGGGGCTCTCCAGGGTGAAGAGCTGTGTGAATGCTCAAAGCACAGAGCAGGTCTGGAGCACTTGTCTGAACATGGACTGAGGCTGCATTGATGAACTGAGGCTACAATGACAGTGAATTTTGTCATTGTATTTTGAAAGTTTACCACAGTGTCTGCAGATGTCAGCTGAGCTTCATGGCATTTTGCTGTCATATTTAATATTTACTTTTTTACCATAATTTTTTAAACTTCCCAGTGTGATTTTGTGAACCAGCTGCCCTGCACTCAACTTGATATTTTTATCAGACCATCCCGGTGGGAGAATAATGGGAAATAAAACTCACCCAAATATGTATGAAGCATAGTCATATTATAACAATTTATATATTTAAAACCTATTAGACTGTTGTAGACAGGGACTTTGTATGGCTTGTATGTTTATTTTATGCCCAGGAACATTAACTGGTATTAGCTGTTTTAGCAGCTCTGGATGGAGTTGCATCTCTGAGAAGGCACTGCAGAAAGGACTGGAGGGTTTAGTCTCTGCCTGCTAAAAGGGTTTTATTTAAGTGATTGTCTTCCCTGGCACTTAATCCCTGCCTAACTCCTGCTGCCCTGATGCTGGTGTTGTAGTTCTCAACAAAGTATTCAAGATTTGTAGAGGGTGCTGGGATTTCTGTAAATGGATTTCAGTTATCTGTTCTGAAGAGGTTGAAAAGGCACTGAATTAGACTCTGGAAGAGCTGTTCTTAGTTTTGCAGATCATTTGAGCATGAAACTCACTTTTTCCAAAAAGGAATGTACCTGAGATGAATATTAAGAGAATAATGCAGTTTTTGTATTTTGAACAAAGAAAATTTAAAATATAAAAAATCCAAATAATATCTTTAAGTTAGACACAGATTTTTCAATCTTTAGAAATTTATTGATTTGTGATTGCAAACTTATCTTATGCTTTGTTATGTGTTTGAAGCAGATAGTGTTGAAAACCCAGAAATATGTTTGTGAACCTGAGTTGCAGTCGATGGTCTATTGGCACCAGTGATACTTTTATATTTGCTGCCCCTGAGTGCTGAGGTGAGAAAGGCCATTTTCAGCTTTTCTGTGTGTATTTAACCACGTGCAGGTGGTGTTTTGAGTGGTGATGTTGGAAGGAAATTCACCACGATGGCTCTGCTAAAGCTGCTGAGCTGAGGCTGTGCTGTGTGGGATCTCAGCACATCGTTCCCGATGTCCAGAGATGCCAGGAGAACCCTTGGGGGTCTCAAAAATCCTGGAATGTTGCCAAGAGTGTTTGGTGGCTTGATTTTGATCCATCCACAGAAGTGACAAGAGTTTGAGGACAAGAGAATCACTTTAGAGTACAAGGTGTAAAAGAGACACATTTAGAGGGTGAGATATAGACTTTAAGGTTTTTGGTACAGGGGGGTTATGGAGACAAGATGGAGGGATCGGGGCGTGTTTTGTCCTTCCTCTTTCTTCTTCTTGTCCTCCATCTCCTGTGATGATGTTGGCACTTGGGGATTGGTTTATGGTGAAGGTGCACTTGCTAACATGGGTGAAAAGCATTGGGAAATAAAGGTAAATATTGTGTACGTAGATTTTAGTATAAAAAGACATGACCGCCCCTTGGGTGGTCAGAGAGTGCCTGTGACTGCTTGCAGATCAGACCTCTGTTGGGCAGACAGAAAATTTTGTAGATAAGAAATAATAAACAACCTGAAGACCGAAAAGCTGAAGAGTCCAGACTCGTCCTTTGAAACGCGTGCCACCCAAGAACCACCCTACCCGTGTTGGGGCAGAGACAGACAACCGGACCCGACAGTGCTGGGCTGTCACTGAGAGCTCAGCCCTGGGAAAGTGCAGCTAAAACATCCCCTCCTGGGCTGCCAGGCTGGCTCTGGGTGTCTCATGCCATGGCCAGGGAGGAGAGCACGCAGCTCTCCAGGGCTCAGGTGCCATCAGCAGGGAGGGGATGGCAGGGGGTGTCTGGCAGGGAGCACAGGAGCAGCCAGGGGGATTTCCTGCTGGGATGGGGCTGCCCTTCCCTTTCCCTGTGCAGGCAGGGACTGAGACTGCTCCTCTGTGAGATAAAATGTCCAGTTTGGGGTATTCCCCTCGGGGGGATGCCATGTGCTGTTTTCTGGCTCTTGCTCTGAGCTCAGTTCAGCCCTCACCTGCCACAAACAGCAGCAAATCTGCAGTGAGCCTGCCTTGGGCAAAGCCAAGGGGGAAACAACTTCTCTGGTGGGTTTTGGAGCAAAACACAGAAATATTTTATTGGCCAAGACATTTGTGGCCTCTTGCTAGTGTTCTCTTTGATGCCCTTGGGGTTTTTTAGCATCCTCAGGTGAGAAAGAGCAGTGGAGGGGACAGCATCACATACATGCATTATCTGGTTTATGTCTTAACTGTGATTCCTCCCTGCAGAACTCCCTGCCTTGGGATTTATGGCTGAAAAAAAATTTTTAGGAAAAATTCAGTAGACAGTTTGTGCTTAGGAGTATCAGAAGTTTCATTTTTGAATGTGTGTGCTGTGAGCCCTGGGAAACAAAAATCACTTGAAGGTCTTCCTTTGATCATATTTTATTTATTCGGAAATAGGTCGAATTCTACTTCTGCAGCCTGTCATCTCAAACTCTGAATTCTGGAATAGTTTTTGCAGCTTCTTGGCCAGATATTGAGGAAGAGATCCAGCAGCCATGCCCCACATATTTTCTGCTGGGCTGCAAACCTCTCCCAGGTGTCCTCCACAGGCCTGGCTTTTGGCAGCTCTAACCTGGGATGAACAGAGACAGTAGGACAAAAAATTAATTGTCTGTGTTCTGCTGTTCAAATTTATCTTGAGATTTCACACTCACTTGATTAAAAAATTTGCAAACCAATCTGCAGTTCTGTGCAAGGAATAGGATGGCAGAGAGATTCATGACTGCACCAAGCTCTAATTGTTTTTATCACTCGCTTCAAAGAATAGAGATAAGTGGTGTTTTCTAGAGAAATGGATTTGATCTTTTCCTGCATCAGGTATAAACCAAAAGTAAACAGAAAAATGATGAAAAATTTTTATCTAAGAAAGAAGAAGAAAAAAAAAGCTTACATTAATATCAAAGTATGTATTTACAGAGGGATGTTATGGTTTATGATCATCCCTGAAAGAATCATCATAGTTTTTAAAACTTCAGGCTGAAGGGTCACCCCATTTCTTTCCTGATGCAAACAAGCCAGTTAAAACTGCAGACTAGAGCTGAGACTCTCTATTTAAATGACTTTATTTGACAAATAATTTCCCTGTTGAAAAAATTCAAATGAAACAGGCTTCTTTTGCTGAACTCTCTGCAGATTAAATGGATGCCATTGTGAGATATTTTGCCTATGTTTAAATTTTGGGGGAAAAACCCCCAAACCAGCAAAACCATGCTAAAACAGGTGTTTGATTCAATTCCAAATTGACCAAGGTAATATTCTCCACTTCAGCATCAGAACCAAACTGCTGCTCTCCTTTTGGTCAACAGCACAAGAGGAGACAGCTGGAGGCTGCTTTGTGTACCCTGGGGTGGCAAAGTGCTGCACTGAGGCTTAACTAAGTCAATAGGTTTATCTGTTGGGCAGATGTAGAGGGCAAGGAGGTTTTAACTCTGTTTAATGCCTCAGTTTTCTTGGCTTGCTGAGCAGCAGTGCTGTGTCTGTGTGGCTGATGCCTGAAACAATAGTACTTCAGAAGAAGAAGTGAAGGGCTGGATAAAAATAGGACAGAAGTGAAGGGATGTCCTAATTACAGTGGTCCCCACGAGCCTCTCAGGACTGAGTCATCAGCTTCACCATCACATCATATTATGGATGACATTGTGGTGGCCAAAAGTTCCTTTTGTTCAGAGGAAAAGATCAGAGATCTATACCATTAAAATGGAGTGAAGTGAAAAACTTGTTTATTTCCTAATTGCTAAGTGTTCAATTGCTAAGTGTAAACTTGGTTATTTCCTAATTCCTCCAAAGCCAGTATGGCTGCCACAATAGTTCACCAGGAGCAACCCACCTAATCTGATCTCTGACAGTAAAAGAGGTGAAGTGCCCAAATTGTCTTGGCTTTCAATGGACCAGATTAGTTCTGAAAATGCCACACAAATTCCTGCATTGGGTAGTTTCAACACAGCTGGCTTAGTGTGCCTTGGAATGGCTCTTTGGCAGGGAGTATTTCTAAACACACTCACAAAATGCATAATGTCCTGCCTTTCTGGCAAATATTTGGTTAAATTGGATGTTTTGGGGAATGTGCCCTGTACTGTTGTTGTTGACATTAAGGATTTGTCATTGCAAGTCAGAGGACAAAATGATGGGAAGGTTTGAAATTGTCAGATCACAGAGAGGTTTGGGTTGGAAGGGACCTTAAAGATCATCCAGTTCCAGACCTCTGCCACAGGTAAGGACACTACAAGATCCACATGCCTGTCTGTAGTGCTGGCTGAGGTAGTTTTATCCCACTGTCAGCCAAAATAGGAATTTTATTCCCTCTGTATTCTTGAATTAGGGTAAACCCCCCCACAAATATTGTTTAATTTGCTGCTGCAGTCATTGCAGTATAACCAGACAAATAACAGAAATACAAGGTCTGGCTTCAGCTCCTCTGACCTGTATCTATAGGGACTTTTGTAGTCCTGAGTTACTCAGGCATCTGCTGCCAAGATTCAAGCATGAATTTGTCTTATAAATCTGTTGGAGCTTTTAAAACCACAAGAGAGCAGGTAACAGAGGCTGAAGTAAATCTGGAAAGAGAACTGGGCAGGCAGTGGCTCAAGGTTTTCCAAGCCAGGAGTTTGCTCTATGGGAACAGCCTGTAGTTAAATACATCTGCAAAATTGTGCTGGTAAAGGGGGAATTGAACTGTGCAGTGGAAAAGCTCCAGCAATGTGGGAGCTGCTATCAGGAAAAATAAAGATGGTTTTATCATTCTTCCAGGCAAACTGGTTTTGAGGGTAGCTGACTTGAAACTAAAATAGAAAACACTGACACCATCCCTCAAAGTCTCTGCCCTCAGCCCCTGGCTGCCATCGTGTGCTCTGCTGCCATTGTGCCTCCCTGGGCCCTGGGGTGATCCTGTGGCAGCCCAGCACCTGAGGGATGGCAGAGATCCAGGATCTGTTTATTTTATATTTTGGTCCATTTGGAGAAGGTGTTTGTCTGCTGGCCCCGAGACCCCACCCAGACTCAGCTGAGCCGAGGGCAGGGAGCAGCTGCAGGTTCTACCATGGGGGCCCTGGCTCACAGAGCCTCTCCCTGTGCCACAGCAGGACAGGAGATTCTGGATAAAATGCAGAAGAACAAGGTCAGGAGAGCCCAAGACTCATGTTTAGTGTTTACTGTGAAGCTCTGGAAAAGATTGTGGCTGCCCCACCCCTGGAAGTGTTCAGGGCCAGGCTGGATGGGGCTTTGAGCCACCTCCTCCAGTGGAAGGTGCCACCATCAATGGCAGGGAGCTGAGACTAGATGACCTCTAAGTTCCCTTCCAACCCAAACAATTCTATAACTGGTAACTGGCTTTTCCAGCCTCTGAGAAGTGAATATTTGGCTCCTGACTCTCTCTCTATATAAAATGAACAGATATAGATATGACATGATTTGCAGTTTGTGGTCAGAGCTCTGTGTGTCCCTGATGCTGCAGCTGAGTTTCTGTAGCTGTGGTGGAAATGGATCTCTAAGAAATGGGATGGGAGTTCTGCTGCTGCAGCTTTTGAGGGGAAAGGGACAGAGCAGGAGGCCTTTGGGCTCTGCTTGCCAAGGGTTCTTTACCAGGAAAGAGAGAAATTAGGTGACAAAGGATTTTGGTTATCCTTTGCAAAAAAAAACCATCAAGCTTTCTTCCCTCCACTTCTGTTCTGTTTTGGGTGAAAATGTAGTAGCAGTTAAATGAGCTTTGCTAAATCTTTCATAAACCATGCTAGCTCTGGAGAAAGCAGAGGAGTTAAAATAAACTCCAGTGTTTTCCCTGCAGACTTTCTTGCAGAGACTCCTACAGATACCAAGGTCTGCAAGTCTAAAACTCCGAAATGCAGTTGCTCATTTTTGCACTCAGAAATTCCTGCAAGTGGCTCTTTTCAGAGAAATCTCACAGATCCTGAATTTTCATCTATTCCATTTGCAGTAATTTTCACCCAAACCAGTTCCATCTGAAGTTCATTTTGTTAAATTTTCTCCATCTTTAAAAAAATGTGGATTTTTTTTGTGTGTGTATATGTAAACATTTTTAGGTGCACAGTTCTTTTTATGAAGGATCAGCTAGTTATTTAAAAAAGAACCACACAGAGAAGGAGCAGGCTTTTGTGTACAGCTATAAATTTCTTAAATATTTCCATTTCCTGGGTATAAGTGGTTTGATAAACTACCCCTGGATATAGAACCCTGTATGAGAACAATACAGCTCTGTATTTTACAGAGATTTTGCAAAAAAGCAAAGTCTGTATGTGCTCAAATCTGGTGTAATTTATATTGCAGGTGACAGAGTTGCATTTCCAATTTTCACAGTTTCACAGTGCTGCTTGGATTTGTTTTGTACTAATTAAATTTTATTACATCTGAAGTTTCTGTTATCTTTGAATTATAATGATATTTAAATTCGTATTGAAAAGTGTGGTTTATCAGCCTACACAGTACCCTCCACAAAACTGAATTAAATATCTTGAAAAAAAAATTTAATTCACATTTATTGAGATGAATGACAAAAGAGCTTATCTCCTCTCTCTCTCTGCTTTTTCTTATTTATATTCCTAGATGCTTATTTTATCTGGCCTTCAGGTCCCCAGTGCAGTGGATTTTTCCTGTTTAAAATAGAGCTATCCCTTTACAGGCAAACAAATGTTTTTCCAAATGAGGAAGATAAGTATTTGGCTTTTGTGCCTTACTCACCAGAGCTGGTGCTGTGAGGAGGTTGGGCTGTTTTTGTGTTGATCCTGGCAGTGTTACTGGTTCAGTAACTGGGCATTTCTGCTATGACTTATGGCACTTCAGAATATCAAATATTATCCCTAATTGAATTTTCTGCAGAATAACTGTCACGAAGCAAGGCAGCTTTTTGTGTGCCTCCTTGTTTAACCAGGGCTATAATTTTTGCAGCATGTGTTTGGTGTGGGAAGACAATTTAATGGAGACATATTTCCTCCCATTTACAAATCAAACCCTCCCAAAAAACAATGAGTCAAATCACAGGCAGCTTAGGGAGATACCTCATCTCTCATATAATTTTTTCTTTGCTGGGTCATGGGTGATTTGAGGCAGCAGTCCCATTTTCCTGTCTCTGTCAGATGGAGCTCAGTGAAATGTTGGCTTGAACATCTCATAGAGTGATATAAAATGAGCATAGAAGTGGTTTGTATAAAAAGCATAATCTACTTTTACCTTTTATTTTCATTTTTACTGTATTTTTAATATAGCATGTGGCAGTGAATGCAAGTTTGGCATCTTATTGAAGATGCCAAACTTGCACTGTGAGATCACCTCATCCTGCAATGAGATTGTCTATGTGGTGTTTGGTGAGGGATGTGTATCCATAGTCAAGCTCCTTCTAACCCTTAGCTTGGGTTTAAAACTCTTAATTAAAGCCCTGGGACTTTAAAACTCTCAATTAAGGTCCTAAGACCAAAATGCTCCTGTCCATTCTTTGAACTCTCAGAAGGGAGAAGATGCTGCCACAAAGAGAACTTGGGCCCACATTTCAGCCAGCTCTGTTCAGGCAATTAAAGATCACCATCACCAACTGAGAGAACAAAACCATGCAGGGTGTGAATGAACAAAGCCTGGTTATTGCAATTATCCCTGCTGAGGCTCAGGGTCCCTTGGGGCGGGTTTTGGGTGATGCCAAGCAGAGGGGCAGTCTCTGTCCCTTTGGTCCCACTGTCCATGGATCACAGCCTGGGTTCTCTGGCCCTTGCTGGCACCTCAAGGGCTTCAGCAGGGCCCTGCTGAGGTTCCTGCCTGGGGGCACACTGGTGCTTCTGGCATTTCTAATGCTTCTGCTCTCTTCAGCACCTCACTACGGAGCTCTGGGCTGCCTCAGTTGTTCTCTAAAGGGGGAGTTGGGTGCTCAGAGCTCAATCTGTGTGACCATACCCACCTCCTGTTCTGTTGAGGTCATTTCTTTCCCAGGTTGTCATTTTGTCAATCAGTTTCATACTTGAGTGATATGGAAAGCAAAGTCAATGAAGAGAAGGCCATGCCTTAGGGCACTGTATATGGCAGTGCACTTACTGAAGCAGGCCCTGTTTGCTCAGGTTTTTGATTTTTTGGGGCAGGAACTATTCCTCTCTTTAAGTCTGAATTAGTGTTACAATGCTGGCACCCAAATTTTGAGTGGGGTCTTTAAGGAGTTGTCACTCTTGCTAAAACTCAGACACTCAAGCACTTAGCAGTTGCTGAGACTTTCAGGGAGATTTAAAATGCTTGTGTTTGACCAACAGCAGCATCTTTCTGAGAAAGAGGTTTGTATGACCAAGGAAAAGGGTATGAAGTGCAGACATGGAGCCAGGAGTTACACACCAGGGGCAAGGCTGGTGTGATCCACAAGGATGACTCTGCTGGGTGATGTTTGCCAGCCTTGCCATCTCCTCTGTGCCCTGATAAAGAAAGTGGATTCTCAGAGTCAGAGAAACCCCCATCCTGGTTTTGCATATTCAATTCTGAACTTGCACCTGAAATCCTGGCTGTGTAAATATACATTTGACAAAAGCACAAGGAAAATTCTCATAGCAATGGCACTGAAATAACAAGATACTTCCTCAAATTTAGCTTCTTGTTCAATATTGACTCACCTGTGTCACAACACACAGTGTACAGGGGTGTTGACACACCAAACTTGGCAGAATTCCATGTTATAGCCCAAATTTATATTTCTACCTGGCCTACCTTTTATACCTACTATGCCTGAAAATTTTATGATAATTGTGTCATAGTCTCTGATCAGTCTTAGGACTGATTTGCATGACATGAGAACTGCAGATCACCTGGAATGGAGTCCCCCAATGGATAAGATTTGGAGTTATTACTTGATTTATTTGATTTTGAACCACCTACTATTGCCTGTAGGTGATTTTGGTGATTTAGACCTGTGGATGGGTTTTGCTTTGCAGCCAAATTGTACTAGAGGTGGGGAGGAATATTTAAGAAAAGGCTGAGGTTCTTGGGTGATATTATTCCAACAGCTCAGGCTATGTAAAAAAGACCCCAAATCCAAACCCAAACCCAATAGAAAATGTAAAAGGAGACTACAATGAGAAAATAATTACAAAGTTAAGATAAACCCAGTTATGGAAATACTTGTGAAAAATGGTAGTATTGATCCTGTCCGTGTAATGACCTTGCACCCTACCCACTAGGTAAAAAAATGCTTCCAACTTTGATATCATAAACTGTGACATTTGTTCATAATTCTCTTTAACTGAATTATGCTAGTATTGACCAAGTGGTTTGCAAGACCAAATGAGGGCTGAACACCACCTGGGATACCTAAATCAGGGCCAGATTATCAGATATTCAGAAGTGCCAGTGTGGCTATTTGTGAAGGTGTTTGCCATGCCCCTAAGACAATACAATCATTTGGAAAGCTTGTTTGGAGAGATGCTCAAGAGGCAAAGTTGGTGTTTCCTGGCCCAGGACAGTCAGTACCTGGGCAGAGCTCTTCATGGTGGGGTCTTTGCCTTCTTATAAAATCAAATGAGGGGGACAGTGGCACACAGTGGTAAGTGTGGCCACACATGAAAAGTCTTTCTCAACAGTATTGGGAAATATTTTTGGGGTTGTAAATGACAGTGTTTGGGTGACTGGGCATATTAGGGACTGTAGTGTTTGTACTTGAGGCTGCTCTTCAGACAGTCCCTCTCTGCAGCTGGCCCTCTGCTGTATTTTGGGTTCTGGAGCTGGTCTGCAAGGATTCAGGAGGAGAGAACTGATACCTACTGCTGCTGTGAACTCTTGTTTAGGACCTGCAGGCAGCTTTGAATTACAGCCACATGAAGACATCACCATTCTGGTCTCATCCTGGCTTGAGACATCACAGAAGAAAATTAAATAAGGACATAATATGAGAACTGCTTTACAAATTATACCACTAGTATTTTGAAGGCAAAGCAATGCAGATAAAATACACGGAGCAATTCCAAATCCATTAGCAGTGGATGTGCTTAGAAACCCCATGCCTATTATGGAAATATGTGGGCAGGTGTCCATAAATTGATAAAAATGCATTCTCTAAGCAATGCTCACAAAGCTGAGGCTGGAAGAGTAATGGGGAAGCTGTGCAAGGCATCAGCAATAACTATTCTCCATAGCTATACACAAAGAGCAAAAAAATACAAAGCTGGTAAAATCAGAATTAATGTTAATCTAACTTGACAAGGAGAAGTGAATGTCTCACAAATGCCTGTAGAAGAAATTAAATCTGTTTAATGCATAAATTGGGAAATAAAAAAAGAAATCATGGGATATAATCAGAGGCTTGGTCTGAATCACACCCAAGTGAAAAGCATTTCAAAGGTATGGCTGTCTTTGCTTTACCAAGCCTGTGCCACAGAATTAAGCTAAACAAATAAAGAAGCATGTGATGTTACAGATGCAGTAATTACTTGTCTTGAGAAGGGGAGAAAGTATACAGATAATTACACTGGACAACGTTAGCTTTAAAGTAACTTGTAGAAAATTAGGTTCAGGATCAGCAGAAGAGAGTAACATGATAAATTTTGGAAAGGGGAATGGAAGATTACTGTGGGTAGTGCTGTGTGAGGTTTTAAAGCACAGAACACATCCTCATGAGGCTTGGAAGCTTGCCTAGAGGTGGGATTTGAATTATGGACACTGCTGAAAAAATTCTGGATAAAGTTGTTTCTGTTGAAGTGAAAAAAAACAAACCCCAAATAGACTTCTGCTGACATATGGGCATGAAAATGTCACCCACAGGATTTTAGATTCAATTTAAATGAATAAGCTTGTTGTGGATTAAATAAACCAACAGAGCATATCTGTATGAAATACTGAGAAGTGCACATATTAAAAATTTTTTCTTTCCTTTTTCTAGTGCAATATATCTGAGGAAGGAAGCAAACCAACTTTACCATGTTTTTAATTACAGTTATGAACACACAAGAGTTTGAATGGTTTATACAGAATTGTTTCACAGAGGGAACCCAAAACATCTATAACTTGGCTGCAGGGGAAGCTGTAAGTGTATAAAAAAGGAGAATTTTATTAGATTCACATGGGCAAAAGAAATTCCAGTCTTTTCATACTATATGTAAAAGTGAGAAATGGATGCAAATGAAGCAGAGATTTCTCTTTGTATGTTACCTTCAGTAGGAAGTGCTCGTTTAAAGCATTGGGGAATCCAGGTACCAGCCTTTTTAAGCTGCTTTTGATTTTGCTATGTAAGACTAAGTGAAGGACATGGCTGAAGCTTTGCCTGTGCAGCAGGATAAGGTGTCAGTGGTCACACTGCAGGACAGGTCAGTCTGGTGTGCATTTGTGTGATGGGAAGTGCCAGCTAATGTGGTGTGGGGACCTCCTTGGTAGTCAGACAAGGGAGGCCTGATGGTTTGAGCTTGAGGAGGGTATTGAACAGGAGCTACACCTTTCATGTTAATTATTAGCTATGTCTTCTATGCCTTTGAGTAATCTTAGTACCACATGACTGGGAAGGACTTTTGGGTCTTTTATTCCACCCTCCATGCTGGGCCAAGGCTGCAAATGTTAAATCTGAACCTGACAGGAGAACTCAGGGGGCTCCCTTGCTATCGAATGTGTTAGGTCAGCTAAGTCTCAAAATGTTTCTTTACTTCCACTGACCAAGAGGTTCTAGGTGACTGTTTCACACATCAGCATTTGGTCTGCAGACACCTGGAGTTAGGAGAGATGAATCTCATCTCTGTCATCCATATCAGGTGGATTATGACCTAGAAAACTGTGACTTCCAGCACAACTCCCT